TTTATGGTTAAAATTTTAGAGAAAAAATCGTTTGATAACCTGACCAACTTATTATTTTTTTTTTTATTAAAAACTAGTAATTTCAAATATATGATTTTTGAATTAGAAGCTGTAAATCGGCTTGCCTTCAATTCCTTTGAGTGTTTGACTTGGTCATGTTTTGGATTATGTGAACTCCCATGTATATTTGGTTGAATCTTAGTGTCGAGTCTAAGTGTTCAAACGTCCACATGACTTCACGAATAACTTAGTCGAATCAAGTTCGACTAAGTAAGGTTGTGATTTCCGTTTAAGTCAAAATAGATGTTGACTTTAGCATCTGGACTTAATGTAGGTGCTTGACGAGCTGAGCTCGCCGCCTATTCGTGCTTCTGTATTATCTCCTGCTGTTATCGAGGTGGGTTTTATTAAAGTTGTTTATGTAATAAATTGTTTACCTTACTTGTATATGATCAATGTATGCTTACGAATCATGTAGCCTTCAATGTGAGCTATACCGGCCATCGAACGGTTGTCCCCGTATTTATGAAATGAAAATCCGAGGGGTTACTCCTACTGACTGGGCACCATAGAATCCCGAGGGGCATTCGGTGTATAAGCCCGAGGGGCATAGACGTAGTGTCATAAGGCCTAAGCAGGCATACGATACGTAAGGCCTAAGCAGGCATACGATACGTAAGGCCTAAGCAGGCATACGATACGTAAGGCCTAAGCAGGCATACGATACGTGGACCAACAGTAGTCTATTGGTATAGATGTGCACATGAGTCTCAACGCTGTGAATTTATGATGAAACTAGTATTCGACCTGTGCATTTGCACAAATATGAATAAATTATTGTGAGTCTGTACATATAATGATTATTATTTTTCTTTCACTTTTTTGTAGACCAAATTTACAATTAAAAGAGTTGGAATATTTTTTTTTTAAAATTGCGTTTATCTGATTGGATGTAATGTATATTTTGGTACGTCTTTTATTTGTGAATTATTTATTATTTATTTAGAAATTTCAAATATATTTTTTATTTAAAAAAAAAAATTAAATGTAACAACAATAATAACATCTAACCACATTATATGGTCAACACATTATATGGTCAATTGTCATTAATCAAAAGTTTAAAATGATTTTTGTAATTTTGAAGTGATGAGTATTAATTATTTAATGATTAAATGAAAGATTAAATACATCAAAATGTAACGGTTTTTGGAGGGAAAATTGTTAAATTGCCACATAGGTAAAATTAAATAGGTTTTATTAAATTCTATTAGCTAGTAATTATATATATATAGACTTGGGATACTTAATTGATTCTTATACATGCTGTGATCATACTATCTCTGTTACTGTTTTGTTATGTAAATGTTTATTGCATTGTGGTGAGCACTACAATGTCCAACTGTGCTCATCCCCACCTGAAATTAACGTTTCAGGTTAAGCAAGGCGGGTACGACGGTGGAGTAGAGCGAGTTGTAGTCGGTCTATGAGATCGGTTATTAATTGAATTTGCTTCCGCTATATTTATGACTATTTACTAGTTATGCATTTTCGAACATTGAGAATTTATGAAGTATTGAGATACTATCGAGGAGATGCCCTGTTGACATTGTCATGTCTTAAAACTTGAGTTTTATTTATGGATCCCGTTTTGGGAGTTGGATGATTCATGTTATGAAATTTGATATTAAGTGATGGAAATGTTTTGAAATAAATGGGTAACGCCTTAAATATGTTTGGATTAAATTTTGAAAATTTATTCTGATTTTTCTGGAAGTCCAGAATTTCTTTAAAAATAAAAGTGGGGCGTTATAGTTTGGTATCAGAACCAATCTGCGTTTCTGTAGACTGGTATGCGTGAATTATGTGAAATACTTGTATAAAATGATGTAGTATATGACCACTCGCTTCCGTCGTGCCGCGCCAACTCAGGTATGAATACTTGGGTAATATTATATTGTTTATGTGAAATATTATGATATTATGAGATGTAAACTGGGGCTTAAGAATTTATCCTCCTACTTTTAAATGTTCTGGAACTCTAGATGAGTGGCGAACCTTAGTTGTATGAACTTGAACTCTAGCGATATAGAGTTAAGTTCTAACTTGGGATTTTGTTGTTAGAAATTTGATATGGTGTTATCGAGCTGAGTTCTGTGTATAACAGTCCTCTCGATGTATTTTGGTGTCTTCGGAAGAGGACCATTCGCGAGCCATCTCGAAAGGAGAAGGCTTAAACGAAGGGAGCAGACAATCGAAGAAGTCCCAAGTGTGGGATATTTGGAGGTCTGTAACCATGGTTATTATGACCATCAGATGTGTATTTGACCCCAAGTCGAGTGCGAGCTGGAGTAGAGTCTGGGTGCCTTGTCCATACTTAATGTCCGACCCCGAGGAGTGTTGGGGAAACTTAATGCGTAACACTGTCGCGACTCTCGAGAGTGGCTAGGCCTTGAGAAAAACGATAGTGACCTATTCTTTTGCGAAAACTCTCAGCGAAGGAATCCGACCTTGTTCTTAAGGTAGATAGACCGATCCGGCCCCGCGTGAATAGTTTATGCAGCAAATTCGGGTGACATTTTTGTATTGAAGAAGACGCTAAAAAAAAAAAAAAAATTCTTCCTTATATTGAGCCACGAGCGATTTCCAGTGACAGCGGGACTTACCAGGAACAGCTTGAACCGATGATGAAAACAGTGAATCGTGGACTCATGAAGGCGAAGCAGTCGTGCTTTCTTTCTTAAATTCTTGTCTTCTTGTATACTCTTGCAAACCTTTTTTTCCCAATTATTGTTATATAAAATAAAATGAATTATATCATTTTCTATCATAAAAATAGTTTATTATGATATATTATATAAAACATGATATAATAAAACTAAATAAAATGTTATAAAAGTGCTTCACAATTATTCATTACATTTTATATAACAATAATTCTAGTAATTAACTAATTATAATTGATCCATATGCTCGATATAAAGTTTTACATGATCAGTTGTCAACTCAGAATTCCAAATTCAACTATTTTTTCCTTTTTTGTAATACCAATAGAAAACCAAACCTTTTTTGTATTATTTTCCGTAATGACCGCGTGCAATGGCAAAAATACTACTCGAGTGGAAAGACAATGTGTATAGTACTATATATTCGGTAGTACTACTGTGTGCCCTGACACACCTAGAAATTCACGCGCGGACCACGGCTAATAAAAGTGGAATCCAATTATATTTGCTATCCTGAAGTACACACGCCTATCAAATATTTAATACATTAAAATTTTAATTCTCACTATTTATTTATCGGCCATCATGTTCATCTTATAATTTAACATATTCAGTTGATAATAAAACATATTCATCTTATAACATAACATCTTCATCTTATAATTTGACATGTTCATTTTACAATGAAACATATTTATCATGTTAAGAAACATATTATGTACAAAATTAACTTATTCATCTTGTACAAAATCAACATATTCATCGTGTTAATAAACATGTTCATCTGAGAAAGAAACAAGTTCATCTTATAATTTAACATAATCAGCTGATAATAAAACATATTCATCTTATAACAATAACATGTTCATCTTATAAGTTGACATGTTCATTTTACAAAGAAACATATTCATCATGTTAAGAAACATATTACGTACAAAATCAACATATTCATTGCGTTAATAAACATGTTCAGCTGGCGCGAGAAAGGAATTTTTCGCCTTGAATATCATGCCTAGGTCCCTTTTACCTTTTCTTTTACCAACTTTGCGCATGGTTAGAATAAAATATTGAAATTAATGCACGCGCCTATTTAGGAAGTGTGTTTCGCCTAACGCCCTGGCACACCTAGCAAGGTGTGCCAGGGCACACCTAATTATTTGTAGTACTACTGTGTGCCCTGGAGGGCAGAAATTCACGCGCGGACCAAGGCTGATAAAAGTGGAATCCAAAAATATTTGCTATCCTGAAGTACACGCGCCTATCAATAAATAAAATATTTAATACATTAAAATTTTAATTCTCACTATTTATTTAGCAACCATCATGTTCATCTTATAATGTAACATATTCAGCTGATAATAAAACATATTCATCTTATAAAATAACATCTTCATCTTATAATTTGAACATTAGAGCTGCTATAGCTTATATAGGAAGGATGCTTGCAGAAGGAAGAGTTACTTAGCTCGTTATGCACGTTAGGTTCGTGAGGCTCAATGAGGATGGAACTTCGCTTCGCTTCGTTCGTTGGGTCGATTACATTGAGCTTAACACATGCAAGTCGAATGATGGTATGCTCTCTAAGTGACGAGACAGGAGCTCGATGGTCCTCTGCTTTTTTGGAGTACGGGATGACTCGAAGGGGAAGACATGCTCATTTTACAATGAAACATATTCATCATGTTAAGAAACATATTACGTACAAAATCAACTTATTCATCTTGTACAAAATCAACATATTCATCGTGTTAATAAACATGTTCATCTGAGAAAGAAACATTTTCATCTTATAATTTAACATATTCAGTTGATAATAAAACATATTCATCTTATAACAATAACATGTTCATCTTATAAGTTGACATGTTCATTTTACAAAGGAACATATTTATCATGTTAAGAAACATATTACGTACAAAATCAACATATACATCTTGTACAAAATCAACATACTCATCGCGTTAATAAACATGTTCATCTGACAGGAGAAAGGAATTTTTCGCCTTGAATATCGTGCCTAGGTCCTGTTTACCTTTTCTTTTACCTACTCTATGCATGGTTAGGATAATATATTGAATGAATTCACGCGCCTATTTAGAAAGTGTGTTTCACCTAACGCCCTGGCACACCTAACAAGGTGTGCCCTGTTTGTGACTATATATTACAACCCAACATTAATGTTGTTCTAAAGTCCATCTTTTTTTTCTTACAGCAACCAAATATTTAGATATAGATAACAGTAGCTATAATTACGTAGCACCCAAGGAGAAGTGCTTAAAAAAGCTCTAGAGTAACCTTGTTCATGGTCTGAGGCCTCACCCCAGACGTCACCTTCTTGCATATCTTCACCACATTATCACATTCGCTGTACGAAAGCTCGAGAGTAACCATCTCGAGCAAGCACATCCCAAACGAGTACATGTCTATCATCTCCGTGTAGTTCTCGTCATACAGCTCGGGAGCCATGAATTCTGGTGTCCCGAGCACTGAATGGGCCGAGTGGTTTTTCCCAACTATAGCTGCCAAGCCAAAATCGCCGATTTTCACCTACACAAGTGTATGAAGAAGGCCAATTTATTAATTACAATAAAAAAAAAATATTAGTGCAAAGATGAGGAAAACAACTTGTAGGAATTTTAAATGGCAGCAACTCCTGATCTACTATGAAGAAAAGCTACCACCCACCAGTTATATCATAAAACAATTACAAATATTCCTTTATTCTGCTAATTGCAGGCACCATGAGTAGATACCAAGAAAATATGTAATTAGCATTATTCTTCTGCCTTCTTTATACAATCAAAATTCAAACATCTGATTTTGTCCCTAACATCTACAGACACCAGAAACCGTAAACCATCAGGAGATTTATGAATAATCCACATTAAAACCGATAGAAAATGCTAACCCAAAATCAACAATACAAAGATAGTTAAGTTAAACAAAACCATGGAGAACCAGAATATAAGGTCTTCAAAATCAAAAAAAAAATTCTATTGATTTACAGTTGATGATGAACTAGAAAACAGACAAGCCCACAACATTTTCAAGCACAACCCACTTAAAGAAAAATGGTTCAAAACAAATCTAAAGGGTAATAATAACATCACGCATTCATCAAACAATACAAAATACAAAGTTGTTCATGGTCCAAATAGAGAAAAATATGAACTTGACAAACATTTTACTGTACCCGTCATGCCAGCTAAAAATCAAGATTAGGATAAACACATATAAGTAAAAACCACAGGCGCAATGACAAAACAAGAAAGACATCAAAAAGCATGATATGCGGCATCTATTAGAAGCCATTGTGACACATATTTCCTTAAAAGGAAAAGCTCCAATCACCTTCTTAGGCTTTGGCTAGTTGCGGTTCTTGAATTTCTCCATGGTCCTGGGAGCTTTAAAACAGAAATACATATAATCATAATAAGTTTCAGTACAATTATATGCTAGAAGATAATTTCATAATTGTTAACTAAATATATAATATGTTTGAAGTTTGCATTATACACTTGACATTTGTTTGCCTTCAAAAAATTGGATTATTCATTCGGTATTGTAAACATGAACACAAATGAGATCTTCAGCACTTAGGGGGCTTTCATAGATTCCAATTTTCAAACTAAAACTATGGATTTGTGTTTGTATCATACATTATAAATAAGATTCCACATTGTAGGACAGACAAAATCATTATGTGGACAAGAAAAACATGAAACTCCCAATAATTTCTTGCATATTCCACTCTTACATGTGCTATTGAAATATGTAGTAAATTATGCAGTTCATTAAGCAGACAGTATATAAACCACCGCTGGTAGTATGGGGAATCTGAGACATGATCTAAAAATATGGGAAGAATATGAAAAAGCTATTTGATAAAATATGCATTTTGCAACTATGCATCTTGAAACTACTAAAGCCATATTCATGCACACTAATGTGCGAGAACAACAAAAGCATAAAAACTCAACAGTTACAATTTAAATAACACAAGGGTGGCAAGGTACTGACCTAGTCCAATAGCATCGGATCCTTTCATAATTTTGAGCCACTTGCATGAAGCAACAAACATCCTGAAACAGCAATGTAGTGTCAGCAAATTAAATTTTGGACACAAACATTCTAGTCATCAGTTTAATGAATTGTGTGTTCAAATGTTCATACAGGAAATACACAAAAATACATCAACATTCAATACTGCAAAATAATAGACAATTTTGCACAATTAAATCACATAAAACACAAAATCAAGAACTCTAATTTTTCATCACCATTATTATCTACAAGCTCCATGCTCAAAAACAAAGAACTCATCCCAAAGCTCACAAACATATGAACCAACACACAAAAATCACACATACACACAAACATTTATAGATAAGCAAACCATGAAAAGGTCCAGCACTTATTTTCGTATGATTCAATTTCATACGAAAATAATGTGCAGCTCGCCTCCAATTAACATATTATATCTTAAATCTGAACTAAAGACAAACCCGCAAAGCAAATAACACGAACAATCAATCCATGGAGTATAAAAACCCTAACAAATCAATTATGCAGCGACAAACTAAATAACAATCACGCATAGATGTATAGATCAGGAACTTGAACTTACCGCTCACGTCTGGCTTTAGGATCTTCTTCTTCGGGGTACTTAGAGAGCTTTCACCCCCAACAGTGGAATCTGAAAATCAGAATCCCCAATCTCCGCCATTGGTGATCGGAATTTCTCGGACCAAACCAAACGGAATTCCAGGAGTAGATATCCGCCGCTTCACCCCCTGCTGGTAGTTATTCGTGTGGGGTAATAAAATTGTTCTAAGATTGAATGCTAGGAGAGGATGAATTGAATGAGGTGTTCGGAGGTAATGGCAGAAGAACAATTTGTATCGTAAATTATAACTAGTATTTGACTATGTGGATTTGCACAGATATAAATAAAATTAAATAATATAAGTTATATTTATGTATATAATATAAAAATTATAAGTTATATAATTGTATTATATTTCAAATATATAGTATTATAAGTTATATTTATGTATATAATATTAAAATTATAAATTATATAATAGTATTATATTTTAAAATTTGATCATTGGTTAAAATAAATAGTACACACGATTTGATTGTATACGAATCACTATATTGATTGCATAAAATGTAATAAATATATACTTTTTATAATTTTGAGTGATCATGACCAATTAATTAGCTGAAAAATATTACATTTATTATAACAATTGCTTATGTGATTTTAAGAAATTTTACTATGACATAAAAAAAATTAATTTATTAATAAACAACATCTTCATCATATAAAAAAATATTGATTTTAGTGTAAAATATAATTTTATGTAACTTTCATATATTATTTAGTATAAAATATAATTACTAATTTTAATATTAACTATTATATTATTCAATAAAAAATATAATTATTAATCAATTAACATAAAATATAATGGTTTTTGTCTTAATTAACCCAAAAAATGTAATGAAATATTTTTTTATTAATGAGATTGGGTGTATTAATGCCACATAAATAAAATTTATTAGGTTCTATTTATTAGGTTTTATTAATGATTTGCCACATAGGTAAAATTTATTAGGTTTTATTTATTAGGTAAAATTTATTGCTTAGCTAGCAATTATATATATATAGATTTTAGGTTGTGATTAATTGTTTGTTGATTTTTGTAGGATTGTTTTATAAATTGGATAAGTATATGGGGTTTCAAAATAAATTAGATAAGTATGTGGGGGCTTGAGAATAAATAAAAAAAGTACAAGGGTTACAAGGGGTATAATAGGTTTTTAACAAGTACGTGGGGTACGAGACAAAATGATATCAAAATTCTTTTTTGCCTTGTACCCTTGAATCCATCATTGATTTTCATTTTTTAGTCAATCTAATGGTGAAATAGGGAGGTGCATGATGTTAAGTAGGTACAAAAGAATTTTTAGATCTTTGAAAAGTTTAAATTTCCTTCAAAATATCACTATTTTCTTTAAATGAGAAGTGGGCGTTACACTATTATTCTTATATATTGTATATCATTACTTCCTGTGGGAACTACTCTTAATAAGGTTGCATATTGTAATGCAAAAGATGTCAAATGTACAACAAAGCTAATCATGTCCTAGCACACCACATGACATCAAAGAGTTCATACAATACCTTCATGTACACTTGAAACATCAAGCAAAGTTGAGAAAAAATATACAGACCAAACAAACAAAATGGCAAGCAAAGCTTGCCTTAGTCCTCCTTCATGTAAAGCTGCATACAACCAAAACAAACTAGCAAGCAAAGTTTGCCCACGGAACCTTCTTGTACACTTAAACACTTAAAATACAACCAAAACAAACTAAAAAACACTGAAAAAATAATCAGTTCCAAGCAAAGCTTCCCCTAGTATCCAAAAAAAGAACAGGAGTTACTAACCAAAAAAAGAGAGCAGAAAGAGTAACTTCTACATATAGTATCCAGGTTGATGCGTGTTACACCTACGCTCCGGGTTTCAAGTATAACTTCTAATTTCTTCTCTTATGAACAATATTTTTTTTTTCATTAGTCAAGCAGAATTATTTGTGCTTATGTATATATTTATATTCTCACTCTTTTTTTGTTTTCTAATTTTATTAAAATGTATTTTTAGGTTTTTGGCAATTGCAAATTTGGTGGCTCTTTCCTTTTCATTACTTTATGTGATAGTTACTTTCGTGGTCCGAAAGAGGGCGCGAAGCCCGGCACACTTTTACATCTTCTTCATTCATGATTTGGTACATATATTTACCCCCCAAAAAATAATTGAAAATAATTTCCACAATTTAACCATATATATTTCAATCGAAAAAATAATTTAATTGTACTCAAAATATACATTTTAACTAAAAAAACCCTAAAAATTCACCTAAAAAACACACACAAAAAAACCGCTCCTTGAATCGTCGGAGAAGAGAGATGCGGCTCTTTGGAGGAGAAGAGCACTTGTTGAAAGTGGCGAGAATCGCCGAGAAGCCAGTGACGAAATTATGGCGTGAGTCGCTAGAGGACGAGCAGCCAAGCCGAGCAGAGCACTCGAAATTGCCCGAATTCTGCAATGTTTTTCAGATTTTCGCCGTGAGAAATTTTTAATTTTTTGCCGTGATAGGAAATTTAGGAAAGGGGCGGGACCTGGTGAATGAAAAGGTGAAAAAATTGTGTTCAACGGCAATTAGGTATTTTTTTTTCAAGCCAAATGGCTATATTTTATTGTTTTAAAAAAAGTGGCTATTATTCATTTTTTCTTTTGTTTAAAGGCTATATAGGGGCATTACCACTAAGTTTTTCTTATTTTTTGTAAGCAACTCAAGATATAAGTTAACCAATCACAAGTAATTATAAATTGATATTAATATCAACTTTTCATAGCCTTGGCACCAGTGTTTTAAATACCGTACCGGTAGTTATATCGGTCAAGCCACCGGTACGCGAATATTACCGGATTAGCAAGTATAATGATATATATAAATATACATAAAAATATATAATATCAAATGCAAAAAAATAAAAAATAAATGACCATAATCATTAATTACAACTTCTCAATGAGATAAAAAATAACCACTTTAACTGCCAATTTAAATTTTATTTTTTTAAATTAAAATTTCTTTTTTTAATTTTTTTTATTGGCCGGTATTTTGGACCGGTATTTTGCGGTTTTTGCGGTATGATCCCGGTACAAACCGGTATAACCGTCAATCCGGTATTTTGAGTGTAATTATACCGTACCAATGGCCGGTATCCAGTATTACCGGCCGGTACGGTACGGTATTTAAAACATGGCTTGGCACCACCACAAGGAAGGCACGGAGCTTTGGGGCGACCTCCGCCCTGTCATCGCCGGTGATGCCGTCGGCGACAATGTAGGTGGCGACGGGCTCCGCGAAGAAGTCAGAGTGGAGCCAAAAGACGACGCCGTCGAGCGCTCTCCGATAGCCTAGAGGATCTCGATGTCGAGGGTCGCAAGACGTGGTGGGGGGTGGAGGAAGGTCGCCGCCGCCACCTGGATGCTAAAGGTGGCACGTGAGGGCCTCCTTCGACTGAACAAGAAGTCGGCGAAGGGCTACGCAGCCAATTATTTTTCTTTTTTTTTTATTTTTCATTTTTGAAAAATATATGATATTACTAAAATACCTTAAAAATCGGTATTTTTTAATCAGAACTATTTTATATCCGGTTTAGGGGGTAATTTGACAAACCCGTATAGTTCAGGTGGTGGTTTGCTAAAATCGTGACAATTCAGATGGGACAAAGGTTTTTTTCCTAAAAATGTCTTTATAAAATGTATTAAAAGAATGTTAGGTGGGTAAGAGTGGAATAATAAATATGCAACAACAACAACAAAAACAACAACATAGCCTTTAGTCCCAAGCAAGTCGGGGTAGGCTAGAGACGAAACCCAAGAGAAACACAAAAAAGACTCAAACCAAAAGGAAGAGATCGAAAAGAGAGAGAGAGAGAGAGAGAGAGAGAGAGAGAGAAAGGAGCAAAAGTCACGGTTCTGGCACGTTGATAGCTAGCCTCCAAGCGCTCCTATCCACCGCTAAATCCTTGGGGATATTCCAATCTTTAAGGTATCTCTTAACCGACTCTTCCCAAGTGAGCTTAGGCCGACCTCTACCTCTCTTAACATCCTCGACCCGCTGTAGAACTCCCCTACGCACCGGTGCGTCAGGAGGCCTCCGTTGGACATGTCCGAACCACCTCAGCCGATGTTGAACCAATTTCTCCTCAATTGGAGCCACCCCGACCCTATCTCGAATATCCTCATTCCGGATTCTATCCCTTCTTGTGTGCCCGCAGAACCAACGCAACATACGCATCTCTACTACACTTAGTTGTTGGACATGTTGCCTTTTTGTAGGCCAACATTCAGCACCGTATAGCATCGTCGGGCGAATCGCCGTCCTATAGAACTTACCTTTTAGCCTTTGTGGCACCCTCTTATCACAAAGAACGCCTGACCCCTGACGCCATTTCAACCAACCGGCTGCAATTCTATGCCTAACATCAGCATCAAT